ATGTGGAGGGGAGTTTAGACTTAGCTTGAGCTAGAGACAAAATGCAAGATCAAACAACGGTGTGAATTGATACATAATATGATAGAGGGTTCAAGGAGGTAGGAGTGAATACTAAATAGATTTAGAAATTTAATAGTGAGTTTCACTCAGTAAGTGAAAATCAAAATCAAATAGAATGTTACGCAACAGATCCATTATAAGTGCGATGGATCATGAACATTACAATCAGTTCTACTTCTTTGATCTCAATAAGAAAAGAAGAAATGATAAAACATTTGAAAAATCAACTGGTAAATAGTTGAGTTATCACAGCTTTCGCCAAACTGGCTACAAATGAAACCTGGTCAAAACCCTTTTTATAAAAGCTAGGGTGTTATATTCAAAAGACGAAATTGAAAAGGAATTTGCAATTTCATCATATCATCATGAACTTACATCGGTTAGTGGTGCATCGGATAACCTGGGAGTAAGCGACAGCTGTTTCTGCCTAGTTTGGGATTCTTCAGCAGTACAGACCAACCATAAGGGGTTCCAACCAACGACCTTCCGGCTACAAGATGAGCTCGTAGACCAATAAGTAACTAGGACTCGATCAAATGACCAGCCCATGCATCCCGACGTCTGGAATTTCACGATATATTGGGACTGTTACTAACCATTATCATCTATGGTGAGTATTTTTCCTCACACCCTCCGACTAGAACCCAGATAACCACCTAGCTGAATAGAGCCATTGGATTATCCCAGAGGTTCACATTAAAATACTGAAGTGAAACCCAAATCAGAAACAAGTACAACATAAGAAGGGCTGCGAGGAGAGCGTCTATTAGATTTTCTGAGCATATCCTTAAGAGTTTCAAGATTTCATCATGAGCTGAAATCGGATGGAGGATTATTGGAAAACTAACTGTGAGTACTGGGCAACTGTTTCGTCAGCCTATATTGCGACTGTTTGGCAGTGCACACCAACCACAAGGGGTTCGAACCCACGAACTTCTGGTTAGAAGACCACCTCGTAGACCATTAAGCCACCAGGACTCCATCAAGTGGTCAACCCATGAATTTCTAACTGCTGGCAATTCACGATATAGAGGGACTGTCAGTAACCATTGTCATCTGTGGCGAGTATTTGTCCCCACACTCGACTTGATGTACTGCCAGTAGCCACTACTTCCCTCTAGAACCGCGGTAACTTCCTACCTGAATAGAGCTAGTCGTTAGTCAGCATCAGGTGGATATTCAAGTGTTCGTTTGTAGGGATTTGATTTGATTGGTTTCAGGATATCCTCATGAGCTGATATCGGCTTGTAGACCATTGGAAAACCAGCGTCATAGTTTGGGACTCTTTGGTGGGACGCATCCACCACAAGAGTTCTAAACCAAGACCTTCTAGTTACAAGGCGAGTGGCTCGTGGACCATTAGGCCAGTGAGATCCAATCTAATAGTGCGACTGTTACCAGCCTGCGCTATCCATGGAGAGTACTCTTCCTCACACCCGACCTGTTGTACCTCACCGGTCACGAGTCCTCACTAAAATTTGGGTAACTTCATACTCGGAATAGAGCCAGTCACCAGTGATCATCAGATGGATATTCAAGCGCCGGTTTCGATTGGTTGATTTCATGACTTCACCATGAGTTACATTGGTTAGAGAACCATTGGTAAACCAGCTGGAAGTAATCAACAGCTGTTTCGTCCCGAACCTCAGTGAGTGAGTACTGTTGAAAAGTCCCAAACTAGGCTGAAGAAACAGCTGCCGAGTGCTCCCGGCTTGTTTTTCAATGATTCTCCAACCGATGTCAGTTCATGACTAAATCCTGTGACCAATCAAATCAAATGAAATCACTGGAAACCAACACTTGCAAATAAAGATGAGCTCATATCACCCTGTCTGCATATAGGTATGTTCGTTCTTTCCTTAGTAGAAATCAACTTTCGTTAAGGAATGTCGTGTACTCGAATGCTCAAATGTCTATCGTCTCCTAGATATCTATTCATTTAGTTGAATAAATGAGCATCGTTTATCAATAAAAGGCATGAAAAATATGACTCGAAGACAAAACAGTTTTCAGTATGCAATTAATTATCTTTTTTGTCATTTTAACTTTTTAATTATTCTCAAATAGATGAGGAATTGCTTTTACCCATCATTTTAAACGTTGTATGGAGGAAACAAATTCAATCGATTTAATTAAAGCCACCATTCACTTTTTCCCTTTACAATTTAAGCTGTTATACTAACAGTTATCAGAGCGTTGTAAGATATATAGTAATTATCATTAAATATTATTAATAAATCCCTTGGGCTTCAAGTAGAATGTAGAGCTTCAAAAGAACAGCTCTACTTTGGCCCTTCTTCTACTGTCCTCTTTAGCCTGCCCCATGATAGGTTACTACCTCACATGATCTCCTGCATGTTAACCTCCAATCCAAATTCGTCGTTTTCCATTCATGTCCCACTGAAGAGTGTGCTTGACTTGCGATGTCATTCAGCAGTCTCTTCAGTCTACACCCAATCCATTTTCGCTTTCTTCAAAATACTTGTGGAGAATTGAATTCTTGGTTGGTTTTCTTCCCATAGTTGGTTTTTTCTAATTCTCATTGGCCATTTGATCATTAATCAACAGAGCGGGTGTTGCTAAAAGTCTGTGACCTGTTGTTAATGCTTTTTATGACACGAACGCCACGTTTCTGAGCATTTGAGTGAAATCAGTGACTTAATATTGGTGTTGAAAATCCGAATCTTGTTCTTTATCCTGGGTGAAGTTTGACCTTGACAGCTTCATCCGTCCTATCTCCCTGTAGTTGAAACCGTGCTTCCTAGCCAAATAAGCGAAGAAAGTAACCTACGTTAAATCCCTCCCTTTGATATCGATTGGTGCCGGTTGATGTTGCTGCCACTGTTGGCTGATTGTGCTCATAACCTCCGTCTTCTCAAACCTACCTCCTCAGCTAGTTTGTTGATTTTCGCCTGCCTTCAAGTCCTCGAGTTTGTGTGACATTAAACATAAATTATCCACATGCGTAATCCAGGTCTTCTAGAGTTTTCCTATCGGTCGGTCGATCGGTCTCACTCCCACCACAGTCTGACGCATAATTCAGTCCACCACAATGCAGAATATCATAGTTGATAGTAGGCAGCCAGCTTTGTCTTAATCCTCAATTCACTACGAACACCTCGCTGAGTTTTCCTAACATGTGGCATTGTCATGTAGACAGCTGTTGAATGAGGTTGACAAAGACTTGAGCACTGCATGCCGTAGTGTTGAAGCAATTTCTAAATTACTTCTCACGCAAGGCTGTCTGTCGAAGGCCCTTACAAAGTCGACGAAGTGAAGTTGGGTGTTTGACTGCCATTTTATAAGTTGTTCGAGAGAGAGAACAGGAGAAATCGAAGAGGTGATGTTGAAGTCTTATGTTCCAACTGGAATCCAAGGGACTAACAACACTTAAAATGCTACATTAAGGAATGTCGCGACTACGCTCAAGGATTTTCAAGGTTCAACAATCTCGAATCATTAATTTTGTGTCTCTTATTCACCCATATTTAATTATATTGAATTTGGAATTGCAGCCCCAGATGGTTAGCGGTAGGATCCACATAGCGCATTTCATCCTGTTTAGGGCTCATCAGTGAGATGTTCGTGCATTCCCAGTAGGTAAGTGATAGTGTCAATTTTCAAATTCGAATCCAGTATGCATACGCACCATTCAGATGATGAGTTTCACGTTGAGCGAAACACGTCTCCAAGAGTCCACTGCTCACCTTCATCAACAATGTTCTTTTTTTCTACTCTATATATTGACAACTTTTCATTATTGATTGAAGTGAACTCTAAAGTTCAATATATGTGTAAAACTTGGGCATTGTAGTAGTAAGTAATTCCATATTAGTTTGTTTATTAGATATATCACACAGTTAGTGAAACAGTATTAGTGTTTACTGGATGACAAGGTTTCGAACAAAATTGATTATTGTTCATAATCATATCAATAGTTGGGGTCGTGCTAAAATCACGAATTGGTAGAAGTTAGAATTCATGAGCCATTGAATCGGGTCGCAGTGGATGAAACAGCAGCTGTCCAGTACTCCAGTGCTGGTTTTCAATGGTTCTCTAACTGATATCCGTCCGTGATCAACTCGTAAAACATATCAATTATAATCACACGACTTCAAAACTTGATTTTTATAGTTTTCTTTGTTCTCTCCTATTTGTTGTCGCTGGGTAGTAGAATTTTCCAGATATCGGGGACAGGTAATGAATCATTCCTATTACATGCATTTGCAGTTGATTCGATAAACAAAGCTTCTGTTATCAATCTCTTCCTCCAACCTGTGACATTAGATTTTAAAACTGTCATCCTATCCCACCCCATCCTATTGTATGGTTGTGTGTAACTGCATGTAGTGCTATAGCTGAACTATTCTCTAGATTTCTTATCTCATTCGGGTCAACCGATCTAGATTTTGCTAAGTTTTTATGTTCAGCTAGTCTGACTGCCCCTGTTCTACTAGTTTGACCTATGCATTTGACCTGACAGTCATTCCAGCAGGGTACTAGATAAACTAAATTGTTTTGTTTCAAAGGCTCTACAGGATCCTATAACCGACAAAGCTTGTTTCCAATTGAGTTTGTGGGTGGTTTGAATACCAGCCATTTTTATTCCTGCCTTGTTAAGAATTCTGCGTAAGGCTTACGAGGCTCCTTCCTTGTATGGAATTACTACTGATAATTTAGATTCCTTATTATTGGTGTCGTCATTATTATTATTATTATCACTATTATTATTAACATTATTATTATTATCACTATCGCTACTATCATTATTTATTTTATTTTTACATTTCCTTATATATTTCTTGATTGATTTATCCGGGTAATTATTAAGTTTCAAAGCTTTGTTTATGTATATCAGTTCCTGTTTTAGATTTTCTTTGGTACTACTTAGATTTTATGCTCTTTCATTTAAATTTCATTTTTCTTATTCTCTCTTTTAGTTAATTGTAAATTTTCGTAAGAAATCGTCGAATGCCTCATCAGCGCAGTCTTCAGCAGGTCCAGCAACACTTACAACAACAACAACAGCTACACCAGTAGCACAGAATGAGGTACAACAAAAGACGTTACAAGAAAATTACAATATCAGTGATGATAATGACGATGACGTGACAATAAACAAATCTAGACAATCTTACTATCGACCAGGATACAGGAGTAATGATAGGGCAATCGATAGAAATCCGCACGCACCTCTCTCTGTAAATAGTGATTTCTATCAATCACCAATAACATGCGGTATTGGCAAAATTATATGCGATACTGGTGTCACCTATATTCATTCACATTCACCTCTGTCGGCATCATTATCATCATCATCACCGCATCCTCGACAATTTCAACAATCCCCAGAATTACCAGCATCGACATCAACACTGACTGATACGATGAAACCTCCACCGCCTCCATTGAGATATTCAGATCATCGACATAGATCATCACCTACAATGAATACATCGTGTGATTGTTGTCAAAGTAATGCATGGAATAATACTGATGATGAAGACAGCAGTAGAACAGGCCGGATAAATCGATATTATCAAAATGTTAATCCAAGCATTGATTATCAGCGTAATTTGCCATCACTATCATATCCTGTAACAACATATATTGGTGAGTCAAGAGTAACTATTTTCATTATTATAATTTTTATTATGGGTTTTTATCATGAGTTGACATTGGTTAGAGAACCATTCGAAAACCAGCGAGGAGTACACGACGTCTGTTCCTTCAGCCTAGTTTGAGACTGTTCAGTAGTATACACCAACCACTGGGGTTCGAACTCAGGACCTTCTGGTTACTAGGCGAGCTGGAAGACCATTCACTAGCCACTAAGGACCCGATTCTATGGCCAACCCATGAATTCCAACTCCTACCGATTCGCGTTATAGTGCGACTGTCACCAACCAGTGTCATCTGCGGGGAGTATTCATCCTCGGACTGAACTATCTGCTGCACTTTAGTGGTCACGAACTCTCACTAGAACCCAGGTGACTACGCACCTGAATAGGGCCAGTCGCCAGTAAGCATCTCATTGATATTCAAGTATTGGTTTGTAGGGATTTGGTTGATTGGTTACAGGATTTCATCATGCGCTGACATCGGTTATGTAACCGTTAGAAAATCTGCAAGTACTGGACAGCCGTTTCATCCTAGTTTGGGACTTTTCAACGGTACGTGGCTGTGGGAGTTGTAAACATTGATCAGACGAAACAGCTGCGTGAAATAGTCCCGGTGGGTTTTCCAATGATTCTCCAGCTTAAATCAGTCTGTAAAATGTAAGATGATGTTGCAGGATTGGACTACACTGACCCTTAGATTAGAAATAGGAAGTGAAGTTGTCCACTTCACTTACTCGGGAAGTACCATAAGCCCCAACGGGTTGACCTCTGATGAAATCTCAGTGCGAATACAGAGAGCTAGTTTCGCATGTGCCAGTTTACTCCGTCTCTGGCGTAGACGTGATATCCGGCTACCTATTGTCCAAAGGGCGTATGTACTACTCAGCAGTCCGCTCCGTCCTCCTTTATGGCTGTGAGACCTGGCCAGTGAGAGTGGAAGATATGAAAAGATTAGCTGTCTTCGATCACAGGTGTCTGCGTTCTATCTCCCGTGTGATGTGGTGGTATAATAAGGTGAGCAATATTCAGGTTAGACATCAGTCAAGTGCTAGGTAGGTGGGAGAGGAAAGCAATAGACGAGGCTGTGAGATTACATCGACTGAGATGGTTAGGACATGTGTTACATATGCATAGTCATCGCCTTCCTTGACCGACAAGCGACGTTAGCTGACATAGGGTCAAGCTGGAAGAGCTAACGGCGGTCAAACCAAAACATGGCACCAGTCAATGAAATCTACATAAGTTAGTCTAAGCCACGTAGAAAGGTGTAGACTTCCTGATTGGTTGAGGTCATCGGGACGGTAAAAACCAATGATGGCTGGAAACGATTGGTGACATGGCTCAAAATCGTTCTCAGTGGCTAGCGCAGATGCATCCACTCCATATGACTTATGATTTCCAATGAAACTGTTTTGTTCTTCGTTATTACTATTCCTTTTTCTCACACCTCCTGTTTACTGTCTCTATTATGCATTTCTTCTACTTTATTTTCTTCCTTTGTGTGCTACAAGGAGGGATTGTGGCGACTTGAACTGCCGCACATATGTGCAAAGTTCTATGTCGAAAATCGACCGAGCGACCGAATCTGTGATCAAACATGAATAAAAAAGATCAAATCTCAACAAATTAAATCGTGAAAATTGGTCTAAAGCTCTCTAGTGACTGACAACAGGACAAACTTGCCTTGAGTTTTTAGCGAGAAGTCGTCACCAGTCATCCCCACTAGGTCGTATGTGAGGACAAATACTCCCGTCGATGGAATTGCTTGATTGATGGTTGCACTAAAAATCACAAATCATTGAAAAAGGTCCCAGTGACTGAGTGGTCTACGGGCTGGCCTTGTAACCAGACGGTCGGGGGTTCATACTGCTGAAGAGCCTTACAGTAGGATTAAACAGCTGGCTCCCAGGTTTTCCAATGGTTCTCTCACTGATGTCATCTCATGATAAAATCCAGTAACTAACCAAGTCCCTGTAAACCAACGCTTGGATAATTTTTTGGGGGTTTTTCTCCTAGATTGTATATCACTGTTCCGACATTTGGATACCACTTGTTGACTTAAACCTTTTATATTTCTCTGTTCCTGTTTATTCTCTAATTTTGATACATCTCTTTGTTTTCTATAGTTTGTTTTGTAAATGTTTTTTTTGTTTTTACGAGTTGATCACGGATTGATATCACTTAGAGAACCATTGAAAACCAGCCAGGGAGCAGCATTGGACGGCTGTTTCATTCCCCTAGTTCGGGAATCACCCGTGATCAAGTCGTAAAAAACAAAAGTAACCCTTACAAACCAAACTATAGAAAATTAATCTGATGCTTCCTCGCTAGTGACTTGCTACAGGATGGAGTTTCTTGGAGTCAGTTCTAGTGAGAAGTCGTGATCAGTGAGGTCCAATTAGATGTTACGTGTGTGGATGGATGTCCCACCTATGACAATGGTTGGGGTCGCGCTAAATGCATCACGAATTGGTAGAAGTCAGAATTCATGGGTTGGGCTAATCGTCTACGAGCTTGCTGGCCTTTTAACCGGATGGTCCTGGGTTCGAACCCCATTGGGCGCGTCCTACTGATGATTCCCAAACTAGGATGAAACAGCTGTCCAGTGATGCTCTCTGCCAGGTTTTCAATGGTTCTCTAACTGATATCAGTCCGTGATCAACTCTTAAAAACATCTCTTTGTGAATTTTTGGTGACACTGATAATATGTTGTCTTACGAGTGCGATTGTTTTTGAGTGAAGTGAAGGAAATTCTATCTTTGGACTGTCTGCAGGAAGTGCTGGTGCGTGATTCTTGTGGATAGTGTTTTGGATTTCGCCTACATTACCTATACAGCTGCATAATGGCATTGCTGGGAAGCACACTTAGATTTCGTTCACAAACAATCGTCGGTTCTTTCTATCTTCGGAGTGTTTTATAACTTCGACCGCCATAGTGTAGAACACAGGCATCACTTCTTTGCACTTAAACCACAATGTGTCGGTTTTTGTTTGTTCACTGCACGCCCACCTTGTTCGTCTCATTTCATCCTGTCCCGCAACGTATTATGTGATTTATCAGCGTAAGATTTTGACACAAAGTCAACAAGTGTTAATTTCGAATCTTGAGCATCTACGCAGTATCATCAGGCGACACAATAATTCGGTCTCATAGCCTGTATAATAATTATTATTACCTTGGGTTCCTAGTGAAACATAGGGCTTCAACAGCACCACATCTCCACTCTCATCTCATCATCCAACTCACACTATCTCCTCCATGTCATCCTCGCACTGACGACCTAGTCTTCGCCTCCTGTTCGGATTCCACCTAGAGCGAAGGGCTGCATTGTGCGCGTTGTCATTCGATGGTCTCCTTAACGAATACCCAATCCACCTCCTTTTGCTCCCACAACATATTTTTTTAAGCAGTCGGTTTTTGGTTGGCTCGTCACCACCAAAAGTTTTTGGTAGCTAATTCCTTCAGGCCCGCAAGCCAGCTGGCCATTTGATCTTCGGTAAGGAGCCAGTGAAGTGGGCAACTGCCGATAAAGGTTTGCAACTTCTTGGGAATGCTTTCCATGATACACACACGCAATGCAAGTTCCTGACCCGTATAGAAGAACTGACTGACTCACTGACTTCACATTGGTATTGAAATCCTAATCTTGTTCTCTATGCGCAGTTAGTGCAGAAGATTTGAAAACTGGTTTCAGGTTGATAAAGGTGTATCGTGCCTTTCCGATCCGCAAGCCGTGGTTGTCTAGAAGGACGACGAAAGCTACACAATGTAAACCAACCAACTTGCTCAGAGAACACAACTAATATAAAATATAAGATTTTCGTTAACCTATAGAAAACATCAGTGCGTCGGTGGCATAGCGGCTAGGACGCTCGCCGACCATGCACATGGTCCGGGGTTCGATCCGCGGCCGCCAACGCACTCCTTTACCTCGCTAAGTCAGAAATAAAGCTGGTAAAGAGGAAAGGTTGGGCATGAGGTGGCTAGCAACCCCATCCTGTAAAAATAAACACCACTGCTACAGAAACTTCAAGCCACTAGCTTGCAGCCCTATGTTCCACTGGGAACGTGAAGGAATAAAAAAAATTGCAAAAATCACCGTTTCCATTTCACGTGTTAGTCAAGAATAAGGGAGAATATCTCAACTGTTTCACCAACTGAGGAGTACTTAAGTGGTTAAAAAAATGGGCAACAAATTTTGGTACTGAAGTAGTACTCTTTTCTGAAATACACTCTACTGTCTCTTGGTTTATTTTGATACATTTTTTTTTGTCTTGGTAATTTCTTTCTCTCTCGCTTTCTCCAATTCTCAGAGTTCCTTTTGATTTTGTGTGCGTGTGTGTGTGTGAATGAAACAATTATTTGACTTATCTTTTCCGTCTGTCTGTCTGTCTATCTATCCATCTATCTATCTATCGATCTGTCTGTCTGTCAGTATGTCTATCTGTATGTATGTCTATCTATTTATCTATCCATAGGCTGTCTGTACATCTAATCTCGCATCAGTGAATTTCCCTGTCATATTTTAAAAGGATTTATTTTGATTTAAGTTGATACTGTGTGGAATGTACTCAAAATATTTGAGATCTAAATTTGATTGGATATGATAAGTATTACTCTCAATAAAATCTTTAATCTCAAAATATGTAGCTACATAAAGGAAAAATAAATAAGTTTGCATTTCATTGATAAAAGCCACTACTCTTCAGTAGTGTCACAATGTCTTAAATCGGACTCTCCGTTGACTACTGTCACCCACGGTGATAATCCTCACTGTGGTGGAATGGTGTGTACAGAACAGTTTATGTAGGGAGCTGTATAACAGGAGTACTTTATTTTTATTATTATTATTGTTCCCTTGGGTTCCTAGTGGAACATAGGGCTTCAACTACACGTCTCCACTTGTTTCTGTCTTCTGCTGTACTTTTCAACAGCGTCCATGTTAATCCATACTGTTTCAACTCCTCTTCACACGATCTCCTCCATGTCAC